TGTGTGTGTGTGTGTGTGTGTGTGTGTGTGTGTGTGTGTGTGTGTGTGTGTGTGTGTGTGTGTGTGTGTGTGTGTGTGTGTGTGTTCTGCCTGCCACGTCGCGGGCGACGACTCTGGCCGTGGCGCCGAGGGCCCCCCGCGAGGCCCCATATAGAGGCCAACACGAGGCCACGGCAGCGGCACCGGCGCCTCCTCCTCCACTGAAGGGGCCCCAGGACACACAAATAAATACACACAAATAAAAATATTCCCCATATTTTCGCATATTTTATGGGTTTTTGTCTTCCCCACCACTTCCCATATTTTCCCATATTTTTCCTGGGAATCGACGATTAATTGTGTCTGTGTGTTTTTTCCCTTCCTGATCCACGCACCCGGCGTCTCGACCTTTGACGCGAGCACCCCAACCCCTCGACCGGCTCCCCGGGGCCGGTTTCTCCTCCAGGGGTCGCTTTTTGCCCGCCCCGAGGCCCCGAAAGGGGCCCCCAAGGGGCCGGAACCGAGGAAAAACCTCCGTCCCGAGGTTTTCACGACTGTGCCTCCTGCGCGTCCTCCCCCAGCAAATGGACGTCTGCCGAGACGCCCCCGCCGCTGGAAAAAGAAAAACCGGCATAAACATAAACTTTGGCGCTCCGCGCGGATTTCTTAGATCTGCGCTGGACCCCCCTCCCTGGCGCGCGGAGCGCGCCAGGGGTGGCGCCCGAGGCGCCGCCGGGGAGGCCCAGCGCGGATCCAAGAAGAAATCCGCGCGGAGCGCCAAAAATTATGTTTATGTCGTTGTTTCTTCTTCGACCTTACGGATACGGGTGTACGTTGCCCGTTCGTCACCAGGGGCGGCGCAAAAGGCGCCGCCAAGGGGGGGGGGGTCCAGCGCCAATGCAAGAGAGCCGCGCGCAATCCAGGAGGGCCGCGCCAGCCTCAGAGATCCGCGCGGAGCGCCGAAGGTTTCTGTCTGTGGCGTGTTTCCTTCTTAGAGAGCCGACGCCCCAGACATGCGATGTCCTGGCTATCTCAGGTCGGCGTCCCCCATGGAAGTCCCGACCCATCCTCCGGGACCGGTTGTTCGCCCCGAGCCGTTTTTGTTGCAGGCCCCGAGGCCCGGCGAGGGCCCCCCGGGGCCGAAGGCAGCCACAAGCCTCCCCTCCCGACTCCATTTGCCACGCTGGAGCGTGCCTGGGGACCTGTGGGGGTCGTGCAAGAATGACGGCGTCGGGGGTCCTGGGTCCCGCTTCAAGTCAGGCATGTCCCCCTACAGGGGGAATTCGGACGCGATATAATATGAAGAACCCAAAAAAAACTCCAAATGGTCAAAAATACGTAGTCAGAAAATCATCTCCAGACTATGTCTTAACTACTTTTGAAGATCCCTCCTGGAGAAGGACAGGCCCGACGCAAGTCCAGCTCGATGCTTCCCCCCCGCCATGACTGTGCTCACGACGAGTTGTCTTGAGCAGGGACCGACCGTCCCGGCATTCCTAGAATCATACCACGACATGTTCGTAGAACTCAAAATGTTCTAAGAACAAAAACAGTGTCCTCAGAACAGAAACCAGATGTACTAAACCAAGACAGTCCCAGCCAGAAGCGTTCTAAGAACATGTCGTGGGAAACACCAAAAAGAGAACATTCTTTGATGGGGCTATAAGCGAGCCAGGACGCTTCGCCACTGCTTGAGTGTCGTGTCTGGGCCCGCCGCCCCCCGCCGCGCGCCTGGGCGCGGCGGCGCGGCGGCGTCGGGCGGCGGCGCGGAGGCCGGCCGGCGGGAAGCGCCCGGCCGCCTCGACCGCCCGCGGGCGGCCCTGCCCCCCTGCCTGCCCGCTGCCCGCCTGCGTGCTGCTGCGGGCTCGTCTCGGGTCGGGCACGCCCTCATACGGGCGGACTTTGGAGGAACAGCGAAGCAAAGCCGGAGCGCGCTCAAAACTAGTCCCAGCATGCCACGAACAGATCGTCCCCAGGCGATGTCTTACTATATTGTGAAACTCCTCCTGTACAGGGACACGCCCGACTTACGCTAGCTGCTGACACCGCCGGGTCGTCGTCGTCGTCGTCGTCGTCGTCGTCGTCGTCGTCGTCGTCGTCGTCGTGTCGTCGTCGTCGTCGTCGTCGTCGTCCTCGTCGTCGCGGGCGTCGTCGGCGTCGTCGTCGTCGTCGTTTTCTTCGTCGTCGCCGTCGCCGTCGACGTCGCCGTCGCCGTCGCCGTCGCCGTCGCCGCCGTCGCCGTCGCCGTCGCCATCGTCGTCGTCGTCCTCGTCGTCGTGGTCGTGGTCGGGGTTGGTTTCTAACAGAGCGGGGATCGATCAGCCTTGAACGATCGGCCGTTTCCGAAACGTTAGATCGTTCAGCATCGGCCATATTCCGGGTCGCCGGCGGGGCTCAAGGTTGAACGCCGCCAGCGGGATTGCTGCCGGTCGACACGACACGAACATGCCGCACGTTAGAGGCACCCCTGGTGGCGCCGCGTCGCCGAGGCATCGCGGATGCATCGCGGATGCAGTGGTGACGTCGGCGAGATGCATCGGCGACGTCTGTGGGGAGAAAAAGGCATCGTCGATGCTGCGCGATTCGTCGCGGGTTCCAGTTGCAGACGTCCCACGAAAACTGGACCGTCCAAATCCAGGACGCGCTCGTCAAGAAGCGCCGGCGAACCCGAGTCCTGGCGAGCTCGAGTCTTACGTTTCCCCGAACCTTCTTTTCAACACTAGAGGAAGAAAATTAGCCTGGTGAGGGACCCAACCATACGCAATTATGGATACAGCAATTGTGAATACTATCTTCGACCGCGCTCCCTATGTGGCCACGGCTTCCCGCCGGAGCCCGACATGCTCAGGGACACGTTTGTGGCCGTCTTCGCGGGCGCCGACGACCACGAGGACGGCGTCCCCCTGACCGAAAAGCAGAAGCAGGAAAGGGTTCTGAGAGCCATGAGGGAGACTGCCATTGGCGCCTTCGGTGGAGCTCCTATGGGGCCACGATCCTCATGAGGGGTGTGCCGAAATGGCCCGAGGCCTCCATGCGAACCCTGCCACTGGGGGCCTTCGGTGGAGCTCCCTATGGGGCCACGATCCTCGTGAGGGGTGTGCCGAAATGGCCCGAGGCCGCCATGCGAACCCTGCCACTGGGGCCTTCGTGGAGCTCCCTATGGGGCCACGATCCTCGTGAGGGGTGTGCCGAAATGGCCCGGGGCCGCCATGCGAACGCTGCCACTGGGGCCTTCGGTGGAGCTCCCTGTGGGGCCACGATCCTCGTGACGGGTGCACCGAAATGAGGCGGGGCCACCATGCGAACGCAGCCACTGGGGCCTTCGGTGGAGCTCCCTATGGGGCCACGATCCTCGTGAGGGGTGTGACGAAATGGCCCGGGGCCGCCATGCGAACGCTGCCACTGGCGCCTTCGGTGGAGCTCCCTATGGGGCCACGATCCTCGTGAGGGGTGCGCCGAAATGGGGCGGGGCCGCCATGCGAACGCTGCCACTGGAGCCTTCGGTGGAGCTCCCTATGGGGCCACGATCCTCGTGAGGTGTGCGCCGAAATGGCCCGGGGCCGCCATGCGAACGCTGCCACTGGGGCCTTCGGTGGAGCTCCCTATGGGGCCACGATCCTCGTGAGGGGTGTGCCGAAATGGCCCGGGGCCGCCATGCGAACGCTGCCAGTGGGGCTTCGGTGGAGCTCCTTATGGGGCCACGATCCTCGTGAGGGGGGAGCCAAAATGCGGCGGGCCGCCATGCGAACGCAGCCCCCGGAGCCTTCGGTGGAGCCTCCCTATGGGGCCACGATCCTCGTGAGGGGTGGCCAAAAATGGGGCGAGGCGCCATGCGAAACGCGGCCACTGGGGCCTTCGGTGGAGCTCCGATGGGGCCACGATCCTCGTGAGGGTTATGCCGAAATGGGGCGGGGCCGCATGAGAACGCGGCCACTGGGGGCCGTCGGTGGAGCCCCTGTGGGGCACGATCCTTCGTTGAGGGGTGCGCAAAATGCGGAGGGGCCGCATCGAACGCAGCCACTGGAGCCTTCGGTGGAGCTCCCTATGGGGCCACGATCCTCGTGAGGGGTATGCCGAAATGGGGCGGGGCCCACATGCGAACGCGGCCACTGGGGCCTTCGGTGGAGCTCCCTATGGGGCCACGATCCTCGTGAGGGGTACGCCGGAATGGGGCGGGGCCGCCATGCGAACGCTGCCACTGGGGCCTTCGGTGGAGCTCCCTATGGGGCCACGATCCTCGTGAGGGGTATGCCGAAATGGGGCGGGGCCATGCGAACGGGCCAGGAGGAGGGGGAGGAGGGGGAGAGGAGAGGAGGAGGAGGAGAGGAGAGGAGAGGAGACGCGGGCCACCGTCTCTTCAAAACGAGGACCCAACACCACAGGATGGTTGGGAACAAAGATAGGAACATAAACTTTCGACGGTCCGCGCGGAATTCTTGGATCTGCGCTGGGCCCCCCTGACTGGCGCGCGCCCAGCGCGCCAGGGGCGGCGCCCGAGGCGCCGCCAAGGGGCTCTGGCGCAGATCCAAGAAGTCCGCGCGGACCGTCGAAAGCCCAGGTTTGGGTGCTGTTTTTCGGTTGGTCGAGGCGCTCGCCCCTCTTCCCCCTCTCCTTCTCGCTGCGTTCCCCCCTCGCTCGCCGCCGAACGCCCATCCTCCCCCCTCCGGCGGCAGCGCACAGGCCCGTGCCGCCGAGAGGTGGGCAGGCGGCAGAGGGTCCAAAGCTAGGTCGGGCACGTCCCCCTACCGGCGGATGACGGGAAGCGCCTCCGGCGTGCACCGTTGGTTCAGGGGCTTAATTTTCTCTAACTAAGGGGTACCGATTCCATCCCGCACCTCGCTGGCGGATGACTGGAAGCGCCTCCGGCGTGCACCGTTGGTTCAGGGGCTTAATTTTCTCTAACTAAGGGGTACCGATTCCATCCCCGACCTCGCTGGCGGATTCCGGAAAATTGCGGGGAAATGGCCGTTTCGCTCGAGACATCCTCGAAAACCGGAGGGGACTCCGAACCGGCATTATCTTCGAGTCGCTCCTGGAGGGCTTCAAAACGGCCCCAAAGAGCCCTCAAAGGCCCCGACACGACCCAAAAGGGCCCCGAAACGGCCCGAGAGGACCCCAAGACAGCCCTAAGAGAGCCCCAGGAGAGCCACAAGAGCCACCCAAGAGGGCCCCAAGAGGCCGCCAAGAGAGCCCCAAGACGGCCAAAGGCGTCCAAGAGTCTCCAACACGGCCCAACAGGGCCCCAAGACGGCCCAAGAGGGCCCCAAGACAGTCCAAGAGGGCCCCAAAAGGGCCCCAAAAGGACCCCCAAGAAGGCCCATAGACGCCACATGATAGAGCGATCGGTAACGCAAAAAGCTCTCCACACCAAGGCTCCCAAGAGCGACCGGTGACGTGACAAGCTCGTGACATCAAGGCTCCGACGAGCGAACGGTGACGTGAACAATTCTCGACACCAGGGCTCCCAGAGCGAGCGGCAACGTAAAAAGCGCTTCACACCAAGGCTCCGAAGACACACCCTCCAGGGACCAAGTTGGCGGCTTTTTCGGCCCAGGACGGCTCCAGAGACCTCCACGACGGCCCCAGAGCGCTCCAAGAGGTTTCCAAGACGGCCCCAGAGGCGCCCAAGAGGCCCCAAGACAGCCCAAGAGCGCTCCAAGAGAAGCGAAGATGGCCCCGAGTCGAAGCGCCTCTGGCGTGCACCGTTGGTTCAGGGGCTTAATTTTCTCTAACTAAAGGGTATGACGGGAAGCGCCTTCGGCGTGCACCGTTGGTTCAGGGGCTTAATTTTCTCTAACTAAAGGGTACCGATCGCATCCCGCACCTCGCTGGCGGATTCCGGAAAATTGCGGAAAAATTGTCACTCCGCTCAAAAAATCTGACCAAGACGCGCCCAAGACAACCACCAGGGCTCCAAGACGGCCCAAGAGCGCTCCAAGACCGCCCTAGAGCGTTCCAAGATGCCCTAAGATGGCTTCCAGACGGTCCAAGAGAGCTCCAAGACGGCCCAGGAGGCCCTCAAGAGGCCTCCAAGACGCCTGAAGAGGCTTCGAAGAGGCCTCACAAGAGCGCCAAAGAGGCACAAATCCATGATTTTTGAATAGTTTTTGAAGGTTTTTGTGGTTCTCGCCTTTTCCGTTTCCCGACGCTCCAAGACGGCCCAAGAGGCCCCCAAGATCGCCCCAAGACGGCGCCTCAAGACGGCCCAAGAGGCCCCCAAGACGGCCCCCGGAGGGTCCAGGAGGCCCCCGGGAGCCCCCCAAGACGCTCCAAGAGGCCCCCAAGAGGCCCCAAAAAGGCCCCCAAGATGCCCCCAAGACGGCCCCAAAAAACGGCCCCCAAGAGGCTTCAGAATTGCTTCTAAGAGGCACGAGAGACCGACCACGACATCCCAAGGCTCCATTACGAACGATGACGTGGGCAGCTTCGAACGCCAGAGCTCCCAGTACGAACGCTGGCGTCCAGAGCCTTGACGACAAACACTGCTATGAGCAAAAACGGCCCTTCCCGTTCTTGTGCGGTCAGGTTCCGGAAAATTGCGGAAAAATGGCCGTTTCGCTCGAGACATCCTCGAAAAATCGGCTCCGGAGGGGACTCCGAACCGGCATTATCTTCGAGTCGCTCCTGGAGGGCTTCAAAACGGACCCAAAGAGCCCTCAAAGGCCCCGACACGGCCCAAAAGGGCCCCGAAACGGCCCGAGAGGACCCCAAGACAGCCCCAAGAGAGCCCCAGGAGAGCCCCAAGAGCCACCCAAGAGGGCCCCAAGAGGCCGCCAAGAGAGCCCCAAGACGGCCAAAG